TGAGTCCTTCAGAAATGAGAATGTATAGCCATCAAGCCTCTAAAAGGACTACTTGACAAAATTCTTCAGTCAGTTGGTAAATGATACCAAAAGGAAATTCAGAACACCATAAAAAAGTAGCATTAATGTTAAACACTGAGGTAAATAGAACATACTATTCTCAATAAAATATGTTTGAGGCCAGTAAGATGGCACATTGGGTAAAGGGCACCTACCACCAAGCCTGACAACTGAGTTTAATTCTTGGGACTCACGTGGTAGAAGAAGAAAACCAATTCCTGTTAATTGTCCTCTGACCTCCATAAGTGTGTCATAGCACACATATGTCAGAATACTTGTACACTCATACACACACACACACATACATAGATAAAACATAAAAAAAAAAAAGCCAAATCTTTCAGTTCAGTGTAACAAATAGTCTGATAGTCTACTGTAAAACAGGAATATTTTGGCCACATCCAAATGACAGTATTTTCATTTGCGTTTGAAAATTTCATTTTTGCATTTTTCCCACTGAGGCTTCTATTTCCCAGGAAGTGATGAAGATATTTTTCCTTGAGCAGGTAAAATGAAGTTACTTATATGTGAAAAGACAAATGTCTAGGAATTTGTAGTAAAAGCAATTGTAGGAAAAAAAAATCTCACATGCTGGTTTGGGTTTGAATCCATTCCAGGGATGCTGGTTTCTTACACAGGCACTCCTGCACCTCTTTCTTTAATTCTTTTCATTTTCTTAGCAAAGGTGATGCTTTACAATTCAACTTTTTTGTGTATTTTCCTTTAGTCTCTTATGCAAAATCTTACATAGCCTCTCTTGTTTCTCTGTTGCTGGGCATGTTATGGTAGTTGGCTTCTCATTCCATAGCCCCTTTTCAGTGCAGGCTCTGCCTCTGCATAGTGGCTTTTGTTTGAAAGTATTTGCTGCCTCCTACCAAGCTTGCTCTTAGCTGCCTCCAGTGTCTATTGTACTTGACACTGTAGAATTGCCTAATAACTTTGATGCCATTCATTTAGTAATTCTATGCTGTTCATAATCAGCAGATTTGATGCTATTAAGACATCTCAAGACCACCTTAATTAAGAGTGTTTTATCTTGTGAAGAAGCAGCCTTGGGTACAGTATTGATAGGGTGTTAGACTTCTCCAACTCCTCTTCCACAGAGAACTGTGAACCTTTATTTATGTCCCTCCAGGACAACCCACAGCTGAGTACAGTGAACTAAGATGATATGCTTGTCTGAGCCACCCGCTGCCTATCTGTACTCCTTGGAAAATCCAGAGTACTCTAATCTGGTTGTCTCAGTATTCTGTAAAACTCCTTTGTTTTGCTGAAACACTGGTGGTACTTTGGTTCTGTTTTGCTTAACTCATAATCCTCTTTCATCTAACCATTAGCAAACAGCAGTCACATTTTCTATGGTTAAAATATTTGTATGATTTCCCTGTATGCAACTTTTTCAAGTGCTAAATTTAGATATCTTGCTGGGCTCATTCGCCATTGAAATAGGAAATTTGCTATTCTTTTATATGTGCCTAAAGGTACCACTAAATTTAATTATTTATTTATTTGATATCTCTACCATCAAACTATAAGATGCTTAATAGCAGGCCTAACCCTTAACACTTATTTTACTAAATATCATTTATATAAATACAGTGTCATATGAGTGAATGGTCTTTATATCATAGTTTATGGTATTATTTAC